ATTATAAAAAAAAATTATAAAAAAAAAATAATATTTATTTAAAAAAAAAAAAAAAAAAATTAATAAATATATAATACTTGCTTAACTATAGGTTTTTTTTTTAAAAAAAAAAACTAAACTAAATAATTAATTAATATAATAAATAAATACTAATTTGACTTAATATATTATTATAAAAAATAATTTTAATTTAATTAAAAATTATATTAAAAAATAGAATTATTCTTTAAGCTTTCAATAATTTTTTATATTTTTAATTATTTATAATTAAAAATTTTTTTAAAAAGAAATTGTAGGTTTGATAAGAAATATTATTTATAAAACAAGATATAAAATTAGAAATATCTTTAAATTTGTTTATTTTTTTTTTATAGATCATTTACACAGATGACCTCGACTGTCGGGTATTATATAAATAGCAACTTTCTTGAAACTGTATTTTAAATTTGGAAAGGACATTACATTAGTTGCAAGTTGTTGGGTAAGGAAAAAGGAAAATTATTATAAGAGGCGTTGTGCTCTTTCGAAATTCGCGTTCAGATCCACATAATTGCGTACTTTCGAGATTCCACATTCTTATAACTGCTATAAAAAACCTTTTTCTACCTGGAGTGTGCTTTAGTCTAAGGAAAATTTTTTTTTGCAATTAAAGTATTCTAATCGTTGATCTTGTCATAACTTAGTACACACCTTCTATAATTCAATATCGCAACACAAATGGACCACTCCGGCCAGTCGCCCGAAATTCGAGGTCGTCCTGATGAGTCACCTGAAGAAGCGCTCATGGCATCTTTTCGAGTTGCTGCTGAATCCGTTGCACAACTTTTCAAAACTTCTCTGAATCAAAAGAAACGTTATGATAATGGATATGAACAATGTCTACGGGATTTGATGGAATTTGTCGCATCACATCCTAATGTCCAACAAAGAAGACAACAAACTGGTGGCGATGGTAGAGACGCGTTCATATCTGTCGAAGACTTGTGTAATTTCGCACAATCTAAAACAGAACATTTGAAATCCATATCCCGTCGAAATAGAGAAGACGTTATTAATGTTCGTCAACAATCTCATTCTCAACAACAACAACAACCACAAACACAATATATCAATACATCGCAACAGATTTCATCTTTTCAAGCAGCAGACAATCAAATATATTCTTATTCCGGTATTCCTCCGGTATCAGAAAATATTTTCGGGACCAACAATGATCAATTTGAATTTTCTCTTCAGCCAAATAGTATGCATCACCCAATCCAACATGAAATTGACAGTATTGACACAGGACAAGAGGGTGGTATTGGTATCTTGACTGGAAATGATTCCTTGAAAAGACGATTCGGTGGATCGACTGACTTGAATTTTCTTGGACGACCAACATTTCTGGAACATTCATTTCTTGAGCCGCCAGCAAAAAAGGGAAGGTTACGAAAAGACGAATGATCGTTGCTTGTTTATACTAATTTCAGTTTATATTCTCGTAACCGATTGCTTTATGGCTAATGAAGATGATAGCCCCAATGTTGTGGGTGGGCGTTATCACTAGGTAATGCATAATTAATTCAATAATGATCATTGTCTTTTTAACGAATAAACTAACCCCTCTTAAACTGTTAGATTTCCATTATGCGAAATCGGTTACCATATTAGTTTGCTTACTGAATTTGAATACAATATTCTTGTCACTTTATTTTGGTATACATATTATTTTAAAAGACAAAGGGCCATTAATAAATTGGTGTAATAACAAAAAGAATTGGTTTTACGATTATGTTATTCAACATCTAGATTATATTGACTAAATTGATAAAGGAATTATAAAATGAGACTTAATGGCTTTTGTTAATTCGAAAAAAAGATAAGTTTAATTTTAATATAAGTAGAATTATGATCCTTAGAAAGTAAATTATATACATGATCGTTAATATATTTATAATAATAATTTCTTGATTTTCTAATTATTTATTATTATTATTTGTAAGATTTGTTTATTTAGATAAGCTTTAGATATATCATAAATAGCTATATTAAGAATTTTCTATAATCAAATAATATATAGCAAATGTTTAAGTTATTAAAAAAGATATTTACAAAATTATAATAAAAATTTTATTATAGGTGGTAAAGGAGCTCAGCAGGGCAGAATATACAAGATTTCTAGGAATCTGAACTGACAATCAAAAACTGCAGTTGAACTCAAAGAGAGGGTGCTAAAAAAGATCAATATAGTGATCAGAACTCTTAAAAGAAAGAAATTAACAGATAAACAAACCCTGTATATTCTAAACAGGGTATTAATTCCAAGGATAAAATTCAAGATGCAGTATAGTATATTACCCTGGAAAATATGTAACACTCTAATGGTAGCATATAGAAAGTTCTTCAAAAACAAATGTATCCTATATAGATCTATATCTAATAGTGTAATATATCATCCAAAGATTCACAACCTGAAAATCATTTGAATGCTTCAACAAGAAAGTCAAATAACAGGATTATGTAATAGACTAAATAATCCTGGTCCCACAAGAATCACAACAATTATCAGATTCAAACAAGTATTGATAAAGAATTAGGAACTGCTTAACCTATTAACATGCAACATCCTGAATTATCTACCAAATAAAGGAAACTTTATGCTACAAGTAATGAAGTTGGCTAAAGACATAAGAATAACCTTTCACAGTTGGAAATGGCAAGAAATCTTTGAATAGAGTAAGGAAAATAGTTTAATTAAGGAATATTTTACATTAGAAAAATATAGAAAAACTATACCATCACTAAGAAACAATAAACTGCTGTATGTAGACTTGCTAATCGATCAAGTTACTAAAGAAATTATGAATTGGCAAATACTCCAACTACTTCAAAACACCAGTAAAAGTCCCATTCCTGAATGGTTTCAAGTTTTAATCAAAACTCTTTCAAGTAATAAGGTAGGTCAATTCATAAATACATAAAGAAGAGAATGGACAAAGTAGAAACCAGAATATGTTACAATTAATCCACACTGTGACAAATGACAAAAACCATGAATAATTATAAAGAAAGCTGGGCATTACATAATCTAGGAAAAACTATAATAGACAAAAGTAGGATACAAAGTCAACGTTGAACACTTCATCTGCTGTAATAATGATAATACTTAAATGACGATATTAACAAAGTGTCCAGAATGCCTAAAGAATATAAGACAAGAAGGGGATATATATTAAAGAAAGATATGAAAAATATATATAAAGTTTCATATCTCAATACAAGAAAGTCAATCAGAAGAGCTCAAAAACTAACAATTTCCTACTCCAAGATATCCCTAGAAGAAACAATAAAAAAGGTTACTAACATGGATCCAAATCCTTAAACCTTAGCTTCAACCAATATAGTGAATTATATAGATATTGAAAAATGGGAAGAGGTCCTCATTAGAGACAATGTTATAGAAGGAGTATATCAGGATCATCTAATAGAAATACTTCAATGCAACCTGAGATTCAATGTTAAAAACTAATCTTCTACTCTAATGGATCTCTCATTAATTATGGAAAGAAAGAAATGAAAATAGGAGATGCATGGATTCAGATAGAAGATATGGGTAAAGAAAGTAGATTTCAGACAGAAGTAGACAGTTGGTCCTTCTCAATATGTGCAAAACTTGTAGCAACTGTTACAATACTTCTAATGGTTCCAATGGATAGTAACATAAAAATCTATACAGATAGTCAAGCCTGTATCTCTAAGTGGAAAACAATAGAAAGAGAAGATCCAAAGTGAACTCACAAAAGATAGTTAAAGAAAAAAAACTGGTCCCTATGGGCACAAATGTTAGAATTGGTAAAGAAAAAAACTATAAATCTGTAACTTATCAAGGTTAGGTACATCCCAATAATCCTCATGACGAAAAAGCAAATGTCCTAACCAAAGAAGCTCTAAAACTCCCAGTAATAGAATGGAAAGAGTTGATCTCATATAAGATCATTACAGAAATTAGATGGCAAGAAATGATGCTGGATAACCTAATAAGACTGCTTGTCAAAAAAGTAAACAATAAAACAATTGCCTTCTAGTGAACACAACAAAACAGAATGGAAAAAAGATAGAGTCATCAAATTATAAAACAACAAGATCATACTTAGGACCTTGTATAGAAAAAAATGAAAGAAGAACATATCTGGGACACTTTCTTTAAACAATGGCAGTGAAAAAGCTTCCTTATAAAACTAATAAATAATAAGCTATCTACTCTGAACAAGCTGGCAACTGGAAGGTCTGATCTTTATAAACAAGTGAAGTGTATTGCATGTAGCCAGCAAATTGAAACTTTTGAACATTTACTAAAGTGTTCAGTGTACAAAAAACAATTACAGGAAGCTTGGAATAAAGGACAAGATGGGATCCTTAGAGACTTCAGAGGGTTCTTACAAGAGAGGAAAAAAGAGGCAGAAAAAAAACATGCAAGGTTGATTATCCATGATGAAGAAGAAATAACTGAGTTGAATAAATGGATCTCTAAACTGATAGAACAGACTTCAAAAACCAGTCAGGACACTCTAAGCTTTTACACAGGGCTAGTAAGGAGAAACCTAATTCTAAAAATAACAGATCTGAAATGCCACAGAAAAAGAATTGGTAATAAAGCAAGAAGATGGATGTCAAAGATGCAAAGAAGAGTGTGCAATCAAATAAGAAAAAAGATTTAGAACAAAAAATATGAAAAAATAATCAAATAGGAATATTTACAAAAGATTTTCAGAGCAAAAAAAATCAACTGACCCTCAAGCATACATAGCTTAAAACTATCAGTTCCCAAAAGTAAAAATCCTCTACTAGAGAAAGAACTCAAAAAAATGAAAGCCTGAAAGAAATTCCATATAAAAGTGTTACTTATGGAATGAAGTAGTGGTTGGATTTTAAGTTTGATTAGAACAACAGATAGTGATCTGCAGTGGTGATCTGTGAGCAATGATATTAAGGATTGAAAGAATATTTACCTGAACTATTAATGAAGTGATAAATTACTCCTGAAGTTGCACTTAGAGTTTTGGTATAAGACAAAACAGTGATGAGTGAGTTAGATAAAGTTTTAGCTTTAGCGAATCATTTAAAATATATAGTATACAAATGTTTAATAAAGTACACATACATAGCCTGACCTAGGGTAATATTAATTAATATTTAAGTTAGTAAAATCTATATCCATTAGCTTAACTATTGTTAAAGATCAAAGAAGTCAGACAAAGTTCAGAATTTTTGCTATGGTCACATAACTAATGATCATGACACAACTGAAGCTTACATGAAACAATTAATTGCTGACTATTACCATACTCCTTACAAGATAGAAGAATGCACAAACAATCCATTTGCATCAAAAGAATAAAAAAACTATAAGCTGAGGTAATAGAAAATTAGTTGATCACAAAACAATTTATGCATGACATAATACTAGAATAGTCATAGTGATTATATAATAGTCCTAAGTGTAAAAATGTATAAATATAATTTTCTTCAATGACTTAATAAAATGACAAATCTTAAGATGAATCTTTTGGATAGATTGTTATAATAGTGAAGTTATAAGTAGTTTTAGGGAAAACTACCTTGAGACTCACCCAAATCTTTTTATGCCTCTGCCTTGATTTTAGTATTGCTTTATGTGTGTAATAGAAGGACAGACTCTTCTATTCACAGGTTATGTGATTCTTTGATTATTAGTAACAGACTTACCAATCAGCCTGCTATACCATATCTAATCAACATTTATGAATATAGCTACTTGTCATAAGGTATTATGGAAAAAAATATCTATTAATAAGTAGTATAGTCTATATAAGAATTATGATCAGCTATGATATCTGAAATTGGTTAAGATTATCTTAATATCATTCAGTTATGCAAGAATTGATATAAGAGTAATAAACACAAATGTAGATTTCTAAACTGGTAGAATGCCATTGATAATCAAGCATTAATTTTTGTGCCACTCATTAACTTAACTATTGAAAAGTCTTGGTAGAAAAAGAAATTCATGAACCACTCTGAAGAACCAAAATACTGGATTTAGGATATTGTATTTGATAACCTGATAACCTATCTACTCTAGTTAGGGATTGCAACAAATCGAATTAGATTTTAGATAAATCCAATTTGAATCTGATCGGATCAATTTTTATTTGATTTGATCCGTATCTGAATGGATTTATTTTTATTTGATCTATATCTGTTTGGTTAATTCTATATATATATATATATATATGTTTGTTTGTTTTTCCTATCTAGTATTTACTTGTCATCTTTAGGATTTATATATAAACATTTAGTTAATAATTTACATTTTTAATATTTATAATTTATTGCTATTCAAAATCATTTTCTTCTAAATTAAAATATATACCTGTATAATTAAATTTTCTGCAATACAGCTACTGCCTTGATTTTTTTTTATT